CATGGAGGGGAAAACTAATGTTGATCTTTTTGGGGGGTTCCAGCTTTGCGTAACCTGCGGTTCTATTTAACTGGGACAGTTTGTGAGGTTTGGGTGAAGATGGAATGGGAAAGGGATTTCTTTTCACAACTGGCATTTTAGGAAGCTTTAAAGGGAGAGAAAAAAATAAGAACCTCTGTCAGCTGGAGAAAAGACCTCTTGTGTAAATGTACTGAGCCTTCGGTGGCAAAAGGGAAGCCATGAAGAATTGTAGATTCATTCCGGCCGGCTAAAAATGTCCTGATGTTCCGCCAAAGGGACCCATTTATTTAGCCTCTTTGTGCCGGCATTGCTGGCGCTTGTGTTTGTTTGGCCGACCTTCAGAACACAAAGTAAAATTGCAAAGGCTGAATGGGACCTGGAGATTGGTTGGGATGGAGGCTGGTTTCAAATCTGCCTTGAGAGGCACACCTTTCGGTGGCTCAGATTGCCTCGTTGAGAAACAAATCCCGTTTCAATGTCGTACTCCTTGATCTGTGTATCATTGGGAGAGCGTTTCTCAATCGTGGCAACTTTAAGCTACGATCCAGTGCAGCGGTGCAGGCCTGGTTCACCCCTCTAAAGCAGTGTTTCTCAACCGATTCTCAAATTCCATTCTTCACATTCCGTTTCCTCTCTACCTCCTAAACGTTCCTGCATGGAAAAACAGGACCCTCCTTAGCACCGACAGATGCTATTATCCAGTCATGGGTGCGAAGGACACACGTTAGCTGCCAAGATCTTTTGAACTACTAATGTTCTGTTGAAGGACAAGCATCACCATAGTTTATTCAGGAGAACACGGGGTGCTCCCACTTGTTGAATCGGTTGGAGTGTTTCCCAGTGGCCGCTGACATTGCATAAAATGGACGAGGGAACAAAGACCAGGGGTGGAGATGTTGAGTGTTTCCTTTGGCACAGTTATTTGGGATTCTATAACAGGACCTTGTGATTTCATTCCTGGCTGTTTAATTCTTACTTATTTCAATTGTTTTTGTATTCTGTTATCAGGTTATGAGCCACTCAGAGTTGCTTCCATAGTGAGATGGGCACCATATAAATTTAACAGAATCGTAGAGTAGAGTAGAGTAGAATAGGTAAAGTAAGACTAGACTAGTAAAGTAAGACTAGAATAGAATAGAACAAGTAAAGACTAGACAATAGAATAGAATAGAATAGAATAGAATAGAATAGAATAAAGTAGAATAGAATAAAGTAGAATAGAATAGAATAGAATAGAATAGAATAGAATAACAGAATTGGAAGGGACCTTGGAGGTCTTCTAGTCCAACCCCCTGCTCAGACAGGAAACCCTATACCATTTCAGACAAATGGTTGTCCAATCTTTTCTTAAAAACTTCCAGTGTTGGAGCATTCACAGCTTCTGGAGATCGAACATACACATTCATGAATTAATTGAACACATAAATATAACAAATTAACCATGAATTTACACATCATACTAGCTAGTTGACCAACACAATAAGCCCAAACATATTTTGGCTGAGCCTGATGAGTGAATCAAATTTTCTTATTGTATTCTCAGGTTTAAGAGTGATGCTTTGTTGTGTTTACCTTTCAGAGATAATATCTAACCAGGTTGTGGGGTAGTTTGTCTTCAAATCTCAGGCTTTTATCACTGTTACTTAAGCATTTTGCAAAATGTCTATTTTGAATGCTGACCTCTTAGGGATTTGAATTGGTTTAGGACTTTAGGTCAATCATGGGGATCTTAAAGAATAAAAGAATAAACAGTGAGAAAGGAATACAACAGCGTCGGCTTTATCCGGTCATATTAGCTTTGATGTTATCTGTATCTGGACCAGGTAAACATCTGGCAGCCATTCTTCTTCTTAGAGATAGAGTTATATTCTGATAGATTTGATAATGGGATCGAAAGAAAGCCGAATAGAATAGGTAATTCTAATTTAGTATGTTTATAGCTGCAATCTGGAACTTCGTTTTTTAAGCTGGAAATGAACACGCAGAGGAACGAGGCTGTTTGTTAACAATTAGCTGTGAAATAAAAACAGTTTTTAGCTGTTTTTATTTAGTACTTTTTTTTTATTCCAGAGCTAATCGTTAACATCACAGGCTACATTCTACATGCTTTAGTATAGAAATAAAAACGGAGGAAGGAGCGCTGGGCACCTCACCTTGAACTTTGGAGAAAAGGTGACATGTACAGTGAATATAAACCAAAAACCTCAGCTCTTGTTTGGCTTTTTTTTTTCTTTTTGGCAAAGCCGAGGATTGACTCCTTGTTTATTATTCTTGTGAAGGGTTTTATTTCAAAGATACTTCTGTTGCTCAGTGTTAAGTCGCAAACTGTTTGCAGCTTCCATCTAGCTTTAAACAAAATAACAACAAAAATGCTGTCTGCATTCTCTGTCTCTAGAGCAGGGGGGTCTTCAAACTTGTTCCTTTGATGACTTGTGGACTTCAACTCCCAGAATTCCTCAGCCAGTCCTCTAATCATCTTCGTTGCTCTTCTCTGCACTCTTTCCAGAATCTCAACATCTCAACATCTTTATCTTACAAAGCATCCATTCACCACTGGTGACATTTCCTTCCAGGAAGTTGTCTGCACACTAATAGGATCTTTATGGAACCCAAAGGCATTGCTGGCAATAAATTAACGAAGCCACTGTTTTACTTAGCAGAATGCCAACTTCCTCTTTATTTTTTTATTTTTTTAAATAAAGCATTTAAATAATATTTTTTCCCTTAAGTCACAAAGGACAGGAAATCTAGTGAGCACCAAAGGAGGAATTTGGAACACCTCATAGTGTCTTACGTTGACATGTTGCCCCAAAACAAAGCAATCCAGGTAATGGCTATCTGGACCCATTAGAAGGCCAGGATAACGTAGTAATTAAGGTGTCACGAGTCTCTCCTCAACCACAAAGCTCTTAAGAAGGTAGGGTGGCAACTTCAGACCAGTTACTCTCTTAACCAACTCACACCATAAGGTTGTTTTTTTTTTTTAATGTGAGATAATAAGAATAAAAAATGCTTGTAATTACCCACAAAGAAACTGCTGTGGCTTGGATGACTTAAACCCTCAAAGGACTGCTACCTATTTCATAACATTGCCCTTCCTTCCATTTGTCCCCTGTGACATTATTTAAGAGAGTAACCTGATCTTCAAGTCTGATTTTTCCTTTGTTCCACTCTGCACATTGTGATTATGTTGACCTTGTACCGTGCTATATTTGTGTGGGACAATATAATGATTTGTGGAAAGCGAGGAGTGCAGAAAACCACGTATAAGTACTGTTTTGATCATGGTGTAACATAGTCTTAGCTGCCACGATGCAACTTGAATGTTCCTTTTGAGCAGTTGTGTTAAACAGAATAGGCCTATTTTTTTAAATTTTCTTCCAGTCGACTTGAGCTAGTTTTATGCTTCTTAAAACACTTTTATGTGATGCTAAGACACTCTTCTTGCAGACTAGAGATGTTTTGAGCCCGGTTCCCACTGCCCAGTTTATCTGCAATTTTGCCAGGAAGTAAATTCATTCTGCATTTATACTTTGGGGCAGGGAAACTGTGTGTAAAGTCAGAGTCACATGTAATCCAAACAAGTTTATTTGCTTTTCTGAACTGAAATGGTGCGCATAAAAAAAAAGAGAATTTTCTCTCAAGCTTAAATAGTTGTCGATTGGCACGGCTTCACATTTTTGTTGAAGGGAAAGAAAAGAACAGAATAACAGAGTTGGAAGGGACTTTGGAGGTCTTCTAGTCCAACCCCCTGCTCAAGCAGGAGAACCATATACCATTCCAGACAAATGGCTATCTAGTCTCTTCTTAAAGACCAGTGTTGGAGCTATCTAGTCTCTTCTTAAAGACCAGTG